AAAAAAAAAAAAAAATTAGCGTAGACAATTAGTAAGGCCCCTATATTGGGTACTTTTGGCCCTTTGGGCTGCTTAAAAGCCCCATGAACCCCCGAACCACGTCCACGCAGCATCGCAACTGACTTTTGGGCTTACTTCGGCGGACTGCACTGGATCAAGGACCTTTCTAGCTGCATCAAGGAAGACAAGCAAGCCGTTCTACCCGCGAGACGCCTTGGGGGGTTGTTGGAATATTTCATTTCGGTTCGCGGTCTTTGCATGAGGTTTCACGCATGGCAGGACAGAACTCCAAGCGAGACTGAAGTTTGGAAGAACCCCCCCGCTGTTAAGTCGCGAAGCTCAGGGAAGGACACCTCAACGATATATAGCACTACTCCGGGTCTTACGAGCCATTCGCACAAGTCCCAGTGGCGGTGCCGTGCCAGAGGCCGGTATATATTGCAGACCCTTGACTTGCAAATCCCTGCTGTTTATAGTCAATCCGGATCCTTGCATCAATGACCCTAAACCCTAAACCCNNGGGTTTAGGGTTTAATATAGGGGCCCAAATAATTACCTATACTATTCCTTGGAGTTTCTGTTTGCAAGCATACTTTTGAAGGAGACCAAAACTTAGCCCTCATAGAACCCTTTAAAGAAACCCTATGCAACCCTACTCTGATTATTAAGGCCCCTACACTCAAGCCTAAATCCTAAAACTTAAACCCTGAACCCTAAATCCTAAACCCTAGACCCTGAAACCCTATTCTAATTATTAAGGGCATCCTTGACTTCTGGGGTTTCTTTTTGAAAGATCTTTGGTGTCTTGGGTTTAGGGCTGAGGCGTCGTAGGTTCGGAAGAGTTCGGTCTGACAGCATCAGCCGAGCTTTCGGTTCAGGATTGGGGGTTCACGGTTTGGGGTTCAGGGTTTGGGGTTTAGGGTGTTTGGGGTTCGGGGTTTCGGGTTTAGGGTTCAGGATTTGGGGCTTAGGGTTGACGGTTTGGGGTTTAGGGTTCAAGGTTTTGGTTTTTTTGGTTTGGGGTTTCCGGTTTAGGGTTGAGGACTTGGGGTTTAGGGTTTGGGGTTTCGGGTTCAGGATTTGGGGTATAGGGCGTCTGCCTGCGTGGGGCTGAAGATCCATGCACCGATGGCGCCACCCCACTTCCAGGGATCCGTGGGTGGCGGCGCATCCTGCGCCCAGCGACCCAGGCATGATGTCGTTAAAGAATCCATCGCAACTGGGATTTCTTCCATTTTTCCCGCCCGCTGTGAGAAGTCACAGGCTGCCACCCGTTTAGGGCTGCGCCCTCAATTCCCACCCCAAGAGGGCAGGGCAGGGGGGGCAGGGGCGGCCAGGCGGGGGGGCCAGGGGGGGCCAGGCGGGGCCAGGGGGGGCCGGGGCCAAGAGCGAGCAGCAAGCCGAAAAAAGGCTGGGGGCCAGGGCGTCCAGGGGGGTCAGGGGGGGCCCAATTTGTTTTTTGGCTTTGGAAGGGGTACCCCCATGGAATGGAAGACGCCAGAATTCAGCATTTTCGGGCAGGGGTCCAGGGGGCTCCGGCCCCATTTCTGGGGGGGCCAGCCCGGATGACCGCCAGAGGCTTTCGTGTGTCGGGTTTGGGGTATTTTCATCGTAAGGGAAAATCAATGTACATTGTAA